ATATTCTACTGTTTTATTAATAGCAAGATATTATTGCTGTTCTAATAACTTCAGTAGCTTCTGAATCAGTAAGCCAAGCTTTTAATCAAGTTTTATAATATTCTGTTAATAATATATATATATGTTAGTTCATAATTTATTTTGTTTAGACATTTAGTATGGCAGCTAGGATTGTTGATAATTATAGATCAAATCTTATTCCAGAAACCATTGAAACATTGATCTGCAGTCAAGATTAGATCAGAATTGTAAAAGAATGAGGTTGGGAAGAAGATGCTCAAAACTAGGATTTTTTTTTTTTTTATGTATTTTTTTTTTTATGCAATGTATTTAGAAATTTGTCTATAGTAATTTCGAATACTTAGATAAATTTATTTAATACAATTTTTTTTTTTTTTTTTTTGAGTGCATTTATGTTGAATTATTTAATAACATACAGATAGCAATGACCAATGATGATAGTGGTGAAGATTATGAAAATTCTTTATCTATATGGCATCAAAATTTATATATTCATCAGAATAATATATTATAAATGAAGTTGCTGAATATAAAGGGATTTCTATTGATCTAACTAAAATGTTAAAAATTCAAACTAAATAATTCAATTTCATTAATATTCCAAAGATAGCTTATTATATTGAGTATGAAGAATCTATTGCATGATTTTAATGTTATATGTTTTGACTGTGAACTAATTGTTATGAACAAATGCATTGGAGTAAATATCACAAATTATTTAATAGCTTTTATGCTCATGGCAAAATTGATTTATTTTTTCTTATGTAGGTACAAATTATTAAAATCAGTTCAAATAATGTATACACAATAAATATTTACCATTTTTAAATATCTATATTATTTACTAATTTATGTATACTTATACATTTATATACATTATCTAATGAATGTTTAGAGCATTACTATTCTTAAAATTAGGAAAATCTCAATGTTAAAGCTATTTTAAATGAATATAATTACTAAGATTTTCAGTTGTAACTTTTTTAAAAATGAACTAAATGATATAAGGATATTAGATTATTAATTAATGGAAAAAGTGTCTTTGTAATTAGATGCATATACTTTGTATTAGTTTGTACTTGTGTTTAGGCATTAAGCCAATTTTATTATAAAATTTTTCTGGGCATTTGATTGTAAATGAAATAAACAATTAACAGCAAAGTCTAATTTTATCTGCATTTGTTGGTTGTGTAAAGTATATATCAAAGTAACAGGGATCTATGTATTTTTGCAATATTTTATTGAAAATAAATTTTATATTAGTTAGCAAGTCAGACTGGACTGTGCCTATTTTTAAAATAAGCTCGTTTGGATCTGTTCTCCGAGCTTTTTTTTTATAAGGCTAGGCTTGGGCTTACAAATATTTTTTGGGTTAAGATTTGGGCCTAGAAAAATCTGACCTAGCCCAGCTCATTCCGCACTCTAAGTAGAAGCAAGAAAAATTGTCAAATATTTCTATTATTTCAAATGATACTCACTAGTAGTCTGCTAGTATAGGAATAGCTAGATATAATATATATTTGTACTGTTTAATAAGAAAACAAGTAGCAAAATCTTACTCTCTTAGAAGTAGCCTCCTATGACCTCGTCTTTTAGATTTTTTCTTTAAACCACTTGGTGTTTTTTTGGAAGAATTAGCTTACTCCTTCTAAAAGATCTGTAATACACATCAACAAATACTATTGGATATTAGCCTGTTGTTTCCTATATCATACATAAACAACAAATATATATCAAGTCTAACATGTGTCATAGAAAATCTGTGTTGATGATATTCTCTCTGTAAGACACTACTTTACTTCTTTAAGAATTTAAAGAATAACTTAGGTATTATATATACACAATTTTTATCTGATCTTCTACTTTAGTAGTAGGATCTTACTTTGTTTGTTTTCTTTTATTTGTTTGTTGTTTAGAGGTTTTTACCTGTTAGCAAGTTTTCTCTATTCAACTTTATTATATGATATGTGATCTTTGTATCTTTTGTTATATATATAATTTTTATTTATCCTTTTCACTATATGAGAAACTATTATCAGTTTGGTAGTAGTCTATTGTATAGGCAAGAAGTCATGATGGGCTGCAGTATCCACTCAGAGATTTATTGTTATTTTTTTGAGAGATTAGATAGTAATAATAAGAGAAAAGACTCATTGTAGCAAATCGCATATAGGTACTTTTAGAGTAACTAAGTAAGTCAATACTTAAAAAATTATGTATTTAGATATATTGTGAGTAAATATATATTCTAATATTTTTGTCAAGTACAAAATTTATTACAAATAAAGTATTGGCATAACTTGCTAAAAAGGTTAAAAAAAAAAATATATATATATATAAGTAAATTTATTTATAGTTATATAAATCATATAATAAGTTATTTCATCAGGTGAGTAAATTAGTAATACTCTTTTATAGTAATATAATAAATTAATTAAAAATATTAATCTAATTATATATTTACAACAATGATTTTAAATAAAGCTAGAAGCTAAACTTTATCATAATTACATTAATAATATTATTATGATAGAGAAATCTAATATTAATATATAAACAATAATTATTTTATCTTATTTCTACATGAAATAAAGATAACTTTAGAAACAGTGAAGTCTAAAAAAATAAACCAAATTTATTAATATAAAGAACTAAAAAAATATATAAAATTTATTATTTTTATTATATATTATAAATTGTTATTATAAAATTTATTTATATTATTTTTTGTTTGTATAATTTTTTATCAACTTAAAATATAATATATGTTTGATAATATTATAGCAAAGCAATAATAGCTTTCAAACATTATAAATATTTTATAAAAATTACTGAATTTTCTAAAAGCAAGCTAGCAGAATAATATTCAAAGCTAGCTATTTTAACAATGATTTAAATAATAATTTTTTTTTTTACTTTATATAAATATTATTAACCAAAATTTTATTAGTTTTTGATAGTAGATAATAATACATATTGTAAAAATACAACTAGTCATATTTACAACTTTAGATTATCTATTTAAGTAGTCTGTTTGAAGGTTTTATACTAGTTGTGATATCTGAAATTTATTGAAGATTCTCTATTTAAACCCTCTAATACTATAACTTACCTATATTCTATCTATTTATACTAAATTAATCTAACTTATATTACTTCTCTAAGAAGATATCTGAGCTAATATATGTCTATAAACTTTATAATTCAGAGTCTAAATTCTATCTTAAAATACTTTTTCATCAACTTATTAATTAATAAAATGCTATAAAATCTAACTATACTATACTATATCTCAATTTAGCTTATATATACTCTTGTTTAAGATTTGTACAAATCTAATTTCTACTGTGACTCTTTACCAAGTTGATCTTCTATGTTTTTAGATATTTTATAAGACAGATCCTCTCAATTCAGTTAGCTATTAAGTCAAATTAGTGTTGTAATATGACCTTATATGACAAACTTACTTATATCTATTTAATTATATCTTTTAGCTACAGATTTCTTTTATTAGATCAGGTATTAACTAATATAACTATTGAAATCTGTACTATTTTATCTAAATTGAGATTTTTAGCATATAGGTTTCTTACTTATAGATCTTATTAAAATTTATTCATATAATATTATATCTCTCCAAATACTATATCATACTTCTAATATCTAATTGATATTAGTACAATATGATTTACAGAGTTATAACTCCAGAAATGAATAGAGTTTACTATAAGTTAAATACAAAAAATCTAAGTAATTATTCAACTTTTTTGACAATAGAATTTGAATTCCAGATCTTTTGTATAGCAGTCCAACAACTTAACCACCACGCTAAGATCATTAGATCTAAACAATGATTAAAATTTTAATTTAATAATTATAACAAGACAATTACTATTTGTATATAGGGTGTTTGTATACTAGATAACACAAAAGTATTAGAAAAGCCAATCAAAATTTAAGATTAAGTGTAATATATAAATTTTTTGTGTAATAAATAATTTTTTAAAAAAAAATAAAAAAATACCAATTTCTCTAAGAAACCACTCTTAGAGCTCTAATAAAAAAATTTCTTACCAAATTTTGCATATACTAATACCTAGATAAAATCTCAAGTCTTACTTTAACTCTAAAGTAAATAAATTTTCTTTTTTTTTTCTTATAAAAATTGTTTTTTTATAAAAAAAATCAAACCTGTGTTTCAAACACTCTGTGTACAATTATAAATTTTCTTATAACAATATTATAATAATATTATAAAATTATTTTAATCAACAATTTAAAATTTTAATTATTGTTAAAATCACTGTTGAATAATTATAAAATAATTTTTAATTTATTTAAAATAAATTATATAATATTATAATAAAAAAAAATTTTTAAAATATTAAATTATTTGATATTGAAAACATAACATCAAACAAAGCATGATAGCTATTTTTTCAATATCAAATAACTTACTAACACTGCAAAGGAAAAGTTGGAATAATATGATAGTATGCAATTGCGATATTTTTGCTTAGTGGCAGCTAGAGCAAAAATACTCGTGATAGCTATTTTCGTTCAGTGGCAGCTAGAGCGTATTAATAAATTTTATAATAAATTAGCTAAAGTTAATCACATTACGTTGTTATATTAAAAATATGAGCTGCGCCATAGCGCAGTGAATATTTTTAATAAAGTATTACCACGTAATGTGATTAACTCATATGTTATAAAAAAAATTATAGTTATATGTTACATATTGCTAATTTCCGCTATATAGTAATAAAGAACCGTTTTTTTAAGTATTAGCGTTAGACTCACCCACAAATATAGTTCTGTTGTTACATGTATAGCTAATTTTGAAAAATTACGGGTCATAGGGTCCGCAATATTGACATATGGGGTCTTTGCAAATCGTATGATATATAAAAAAGTCGCTGTTTTCCAAACAGATTATAGAAAACAAAAATAAAAGTGTGAATGATTACATACAGGCAATGTCATATTTCGGTAATCTCTGTAATTATTGTAGACAAAAGGAAGTTTATATTGATTCCGGACATCCCACTGAATTTTGTTCTAACCAATGTCGAAAAGATGCTGTAGAAAAACGTAAATTGAAGTTAAAACTTGGAGTTTCTTTAATATTTTGTATTTTTAACAATTAAAAAAACCTTAACGTTTATTCCTATATTTTATAGGTCTTGTTGAAGCTTGTGTTGTATGTCATATTTATCCGAAAGTCAAGTTACAAAATGGTCAAAGATCACTTTATTGTGGAAAACATTGTCAGGCTAAAGCAATTAGGACACAGCCCGTACGGACACAAATACAACCAATGCAACCAGCATACCGAGCTGTACCCGTTTCCCCTGTATCTAATATACAAAATAAAGTTATGAATATACCTCCGCAACCTCCGACAAGACGGCAAATACAGATTCCACTTAATGCACAATTTCCAATGAATCAACCAATTCCAATGAATCAACAAATTCAAATGATGCCACCCACAAATCAAAGACAATATATGCCTCCTCCTATATGCGTTCAATGTAAACAAAAGCCTTGTTGGAAAGATCCAAAGACTGGTACATTTTCATCTTTTTGTGGAAGGACTTGCAAGGAAAATGCCACAGGTTAGTAAAGCAGATTGCCTGGTATGATGAATATATTTCGTATTCTAAAAAAAAAAGGCATTACTGTTTTAGGGCCTAGAGGGATGTCACAATGCTATGTTAATGTAAACCCAACACCGAATAGTATACCGACACAGATGGGTATCCAACAGCAACAGATTGCACCATTATATCAAACCACACAAGTAGGTGTTCAACAACCAATCATGCCATTGAATATTCAACAAACTACTCCATTACAGACTGCGCCATTAAATGCTTATCAGTCGCCTCCAGTAAGTATTCTACAACAACAACAAGCTAATATTCAACAACAGCAAGCTAATATTCAACAACAAGCCAATATTCAACAACAAACCACTCCAGTTATTAATCAGCAAGCTACACAATTTAATACATTAAATGCTCAACAACAAGCCACTCCAGTAAATGGTCATCATAGAAATTCAATTGTCCATCAACGAGCAATTTCACCAAATATCCATCAGCGAACTACAGTAAATGCTCAACAACAAACAAAAAATGTTCGTAATCGACAATCCACACAAATAAATGCTCGTCAACAAACGTATCAAGATGATTCGTATCAAGATGATTTGTATCAAGATGATGATTCTTACCAAGAAGATTCGTATCAAGATGATTCGTATCACGATGATTCGTACCAAGATGATTCGTATCAGAATGAATCGTATCAGGATGAAGAATCATTAGTAGAAGATGTAAGTGTACATTCACGAAATCAACGATCAAATAGACGACCAAATTCACGGTCAAATTCGCGGCCAAATTCACGGCCAAATTCACAATCAAATTCACAATCAAATCCACGATCAAATCCACGATCAAATCCACGATCAAATCAGCGATCAAATTTTAAGAGACCAACAAGTGTTCGTTCTCAAAGTTCGCAAACATCTGTTTCCTCTCAGGGTTCACAAGCATCCGCCTCACGTGCAAATGAAACATTTGAAGACGAACCGTTATCACCACCAATTCTACCTGTTATGACTAAGCCACCACCGACTCGGCGGGCTTTACCGGATCCGCCGAATGATCGTCCTGTGGACGAAGAACCTGAAGATGATGATGATTATGATGATGAAGAAGATGAAGATGAAGAAGAAATTACTGACACCCTCTATCGTCCTTCTCTACCTAATGATCCACCTCCAGCATATACGGACAACCCAGAAATCACGCGTAATCTAAACTCAGATCGTAAAATTACTCGTGATGATTCATTTAATGACGATGATCCATATGGGTAGGATTATGGAAATTGACAAAATCATAATAGCTTTTTTTTTTTTTTTAAATTATTCAAACTATTTAAATAATTTATTTAAGCATATTTAAAGTTTATAATCAACGAGATTTTCATTAGCAACTTAAATGCATATGAAAATAATTGTATCAAAATTTTTAATATTAATTTTGTCTTTTATACAAAATATTAATAATTTTATCAATGTATAAATAGGCTTTTTTCAAATATTATTATAACATAAATTCATATTTTATATAAAAAGTATATATATGTATCATAACATAAATAAAAAAAAATTTTTATTTAACATACAATAGATCACTTGTAATACATTATATAATTGTCCAATGTTTTTTTTTTTTTTAGTAAAAAAAAAAAATGTCTAATTTGGAAAAATTTTCCTAGGTAAAAAAAAAAGCTTTTTACTTTTTAATACAAAAAAAAAGACATTATCTAATGTAAAATAAAATTTAAAAATTTATCTAAATGACAAAGCCTAAAATATCATACATTTTTTTTAAATTATAAACGTTTACTCATTTAGACGGTAATAATAAGGTGAAGAGTAAAGATCAATTTCGGCTGTTATATAAAATAAAAAAATAAAAATAAAAGTTAAAATTAAATATTTAATTAAAGAAGTTAATATATATTTGAAAAAGAAGTAATTAATTACCCCGAATACATGTAGGACCACCTCCATAAACATGTACAAAATAATTCCAAACATTAACATTCACTCCTCTATAATCGATTGCTATATAAAAAAAAAAATGAATTATTAATGTAAAAATAAAATTTTAAATTTTAAATATAAAAAAATTTAATAATTACTAACCTCTTCTCATACCAGGTTTTGGCCTTCCGTCTTCATATAGAAAAGTTGTGTTATCAATTGAACCTGGTAATGGTCCTAACATAATAAAAGATATATAATATTAATTTATATAATAAAAAAAAAAAAAAATTTTTTTGTTTTAAAAAAAAATAATAACCCCCAGATTTAAAATCATGCCAACTTTGAAGCCAAGAGTTGCTTATTAAATACCAATAAGCACCACGACTAATTATACTAGTATCTATTCTACTAATGTCACGAGCTTCTTTACGACGTCTTAAATCTAATGTTCTTTCCTCTTGCTATTATAAAATTAATTAATTTTTTTAAAAAAAAAGTCCAAAATTTCATATAAAATGAATACATTAAAAAAAAAAACTTAATAATTACCTCACATATATTACATGCTGAACGCCCATAATCATCTGCAGAAAAAGGTGGACTTCCATCTATACCATATCTTTCCATTAATGAAGTATAAACTCCGAATGGTATTCTTACAACCATATCATGAAGTTTAGGATAAAGTCTAAAATTAACACCTGAAAAATAATTATAAAATATATTAATAAAGTTTTAATATCAATTGAAATTTTTAAAAAATTTATTACCTCCATGTGAACAAATAAAATCATAATTTGTTATCGGACCGGGCTATAAAGAAAAAAAAAAATACATGTATATATAAATAAAATTAAATCATATTTAACACAATAACTAAATAGATAATAATAATAATAATTACTGTCATCATAAATTGCCATCTATTAAACCATAATCGAGAAACAAATAAATGCGCTTCATCTTTAGACTAATGATAAAAGAAATAAAATTATAAAAGTTAAATAAGGATCATAACATATATATAAATTAACAAAAACAAAATAATCCTTATTAAAAATACATACATCACTTATTTTAGAAAGAATATCTTTCCTTTCTTGTTCTTTTTTGGGACTTGTCTTTTTATAGAATAACACGTATGCTTCTAATCGAGATACTTCGGCTGCAGTCTTTTTTGTAACATACTAAAATAAATTATATTTTTAATTTTCATTTTTATACTAATTAATTTATAATAATTTTTATGATAATAACAAAATTATAATTTCTTACAGTATCATCAAATTCATACCAATCCTCGTCAATAGGATTTTTAACATATGCAACATAATGACCACCTTTTTTAAAGAAAATAATATTATTTGAATTTAATTTTATAAGTTAATTTTATAAATTATTAAAATAAATTCATCAATCCAACCTCCAAGCACACCACGATGATGAATTAATCCATATAAACTATATTTTGAGTCATCTAATAACTCTTTTTCCTTGCAATAAGGACTCATATCTAAATCTTCCATTGGAAATTGAACGTGTGTAGCAATTTTAGAAGAAAAATATGATTCAAAACGAAATCGCTTAAGCTGAATGCAAAGTGTCTATAATAATATAGTTTAAAAAAAATAAGTAACAAAAAAAAAAAAATATATATATATATAAATAAAAATAAGAACCTCAGGCAAACGTGTTATTCTTAATGTTTTTTGACAATCATTCAATGATCTGCATTTATCGCATCTATATTTGTCTTCTCCAGTAAGATTTTCTGTGGCATAAAATGCAGAAAGGCAGTCCTGCAATTTTATGGTTCTTCCACCAATACTGATAATATTTTTCGGAATACGTTAAATATAATCGAAATATATATAAAACCATATAATAATAATAATTAAATGTCTTACCCTAGCCAATCACCTATAGGTGCTACTAATGTATTTAAAGTAGAACGTGAACCATCAGAATTTTGTGATTTAAGTTTATATTTTTTATCAATTTGAATTGGAAGAACGTAAAAGTAATCTTCTTTCAAAGAATCCTAAATATATGCGTCAATAATTATAAATATAAGAATAAAAAAAAATATTATTATTATTAACCTAAATTGAAGTAAGGTCTCACCTTCATACAATGAAGGCATTTAATTTTGCTTTCCAATGTACCCTGAAATATATCACTAATTATACTAGTTTGTGAAGAATGACGCCTCTGAACATTTTCATAAGAGGTTCTTGGAGTAAGAGTTGAAGATGTTGAAGTTCCACATGCGTAATGATCATCAACCATAGTATCATTACTAAAATCTGTTAATGGTGAATTATTTCCAAATGCATGATTACTTATGTTAACATTTGTTTGCGAATGATTATGTGGATATGGAAGTTCTTCATGAAGTTTATCCAAAATAGCATGAAGAAATTCTGCAGAATCCTATAAATAAGGTTAAGTAAAAAAAAAAAATTTAAGGACGAAAATTAAGGGATAAAAATCTATCAAATCATACATACCTCTTGTGAATGTCCTCTAAAACGTTCATTATGCCTTTTAATCTCATTCATTAACCGAATGGGAGCAAAAATTGGACTATGAAATAAATTAAGAATTATTTAATTAAATTATAATTACCGATATTCATAACAAGTAAGGAAAAATAATAACCTGGTACCATTCCACATTGCATCTACAAATTGATTGAAAGGCTCCGCCAATTGATATTTGGGATTCTTTGAATTAATAGTTCTTGGAATGTAGGCATTACAATAGTTAAAATAATTTATTAATGATGGTCTAAATAACAAAAAGAGTTAATAAATCATTGGTAATTGATTAAATAGGATCGAGAATTAAAAAAAAAAAAAAAAAACGCACGTATTAGATAAACATTGGAGAACAGCACTGAATGAAAAGATAAATATGACAAGATGTTATATTGTTAACATAAATATAAAAGAATTGGGAATTGGGAATTGGAAATGATTAATGGAATAAATATTAATATTAAACCTTGCATAGCAAGTATTTCCCAAATTCTTTAATCCAACCAATCCTTTATTAAACAAAAAAAATTTTTTTTTTAGATTTAATAAAAAATATAAAATCAAATAATTTATATATAATAATTCTTTTTTTTTTTTAAATCATACCAGGTACATCAATTGATAATTGATCGATAGAATGTTGTGATTTGTTTCTTTTAACCTGCTACTGACAAAGTATTTCAACTTTTTTTTTACAAAAAAAATCCCATGAATAAAAACAATAATAATAATAATAATTTATGAAATAAAAATTCACCAGGCATCTCACAACAGTTTTCAAATAATTTCTAGTCTCTTGTGATAATATTTCATTTTTATTAAATGGATTTATTTCAATAGAACAATGATAACACCATATATCTAATGTACGTGGATTAACATATATGGAATGACTAGAATCAGGCTTTTTCTCCTAATTAATAAAAAAATTAAAATTTTTAATATTAAATTATTAAATTTGAAACTATGATCAAAAAAAATATTAGCATGCCTTATATGTATTATCATAGTGTTCACGCATATGAGACCTGAAATTACTACTACAAACAACGGTACGACATCGAGTCTGTTAATTAAATAAAAAAAAAGAAAAGAAAATTTAATTGGTTAAAAATAAAATAACACCTGTGAAACGTTTGAAAAAAAAAAAATAAAATAAAATAGTTAGAATTTCACAACTTGCATGTAGACAAATCCAAACCCTTGGAACTTTAGTCTCACACCAGTCACAATGAAGTGTGGAATTTGAGACTTGTCTCTAAGAAAAAAGAAAGAAATTTTTATTAATAAAAAAAAAAATATATATATTTATTTCTTTGGTGAATTTTTACCTTGAAAGCAGAAGATTCAATCTTTGCTACTGGCGAACCTTGCTTAGAATATCTTTCGATATGGGGGCAAGAAGGTTTTCTTGAAATATTCACAGGTGAAGAAGACTGATCTGAATATTGACGTATAGACATTACTTGCAAAAAGAAAGAAAGTGATAAACAAAAAAAGGTTGCCGAGTTCGAAGAAACTTTTATATTATTATAATTTAAAGGAGTCCGGAGCTTAATGCTATTTTATAGTTACGCAAGGTTTGTCCTCTGATCTGTAATTCCATGATCATGCAATATATTAAACTAATTTAAGATTTCATAAAGATAAGATTCGTTAAGTCTCATGAGTTCTGGTTTAATCACATGACATTGATTGATGAATACTGTATTTAACGTTATACGGAAATATATTTCCGTCAGCCAAATAGAGACTTCTAGATTGTGATTAACAGGATTACAAAGAGGTTTTTTTTTTTTTTTTGTTGTAATAAGTTATAAGCCAATACTTTAATAAAAAAAATAAATCCATATACAAATACTTTATTTACAACCATATTAAGAAAGAACCGAAAATTGTGTTGCAAACTTGAAATTAAGAATAAATATTCTAAATAATAATATAAAATAATATAAATAAATCAGATAACAATCGGATATATTTTTACCACCTTTAACCCTTACTTTTTGTTTTTTTTTTTAAATCAAATTTTTTTTTTCAAGAAAAATAATATCAAAATTTTGATAAATTCTTCAAATTTATAATAACAATAAAAAATAATTAATTCATCCATCCATCCATTCATTCATCTAATAAAAAAAATCGGAATAAAGTAAAAATAATATAGATAAAAATTTATTAATTAATTGTTAATAAAAAAAAAAATGGCATCAACGCTTCACGTTCCAAGACCAAGGTCTGTAGCAAGTTCCGTAAAAAGCGTAAAAAGTGCTAGAAGTATAAGAAGTACAAGTCCAACTTCTTCTAATGGTAATAATAAAGATGAAAAAGATGCTTTAAGACCTTATGTTGATGCAATAGCTAAAATGTTTATAAGAATAAGAGAAAAAGGATATAATTTTTCAGCAGTAAGTGATATAATTGAAGAAGAAATAAGATTACAAAAACATGAAGAAACACAAATATTTTCATGGTTATCAAAGAATCAAAATTCAGCACAAAATACAACTTTACTTGGATTTTTTTATTTTCAAGGAACAGGAACACCGATTGATAAAAGAAAAGGATTTTCATTATTTCTTACTGCAGCGAAAATGGATTTTTTTGTTGCACAGGATTTAGTTGCAGATTGTTATGGATTCGGACTTGGAACATCAAAAAATGAAGATTTAAGTTTTATGTGGTATCAAAAAGCATCACTGAATGGAAGTGTTGATGGGCAATTTGGGCTTGGATATTGTTATGAAGCAGGAATAGGTACTTCAAAGAGTATTTCTAAAGCATTTCAGTTATATAGAAGGTCAGCAAAAAAAGAAAATAGGTCAGCTATGTTTATGTTGGCACAATGTTATGAACGAGGAATGGGTACAACAAAGGATTTGGAACAGGCAATTCACTGGTATAGAAAGGCTAAAGAAAGTGGAAATAGTGATGCAGAAGAACCGTTAGCCGAATTATTATTACAAACTACAAACTCTGATTAATTATTATAAAGAATTTTTGGTAAGAATTTATTTTATTTTATTTTATTAAATATTTATTTACAAATTATCCCGTTAACTAATAAGAATGTAAATTCTTTTATTATAGTTAAATCCATCTTCATAAATATTTATAAAATCTATTTAAATGTATACATTTTTTTGAATAGTTTTTTCTCCCCATTATTT